ACATTTAAAAAGAAGACAAACCTTCATCTTAGGTTAAGAGGACAGAGTCCACTTCATGACAGTGTCTCATAACTTTTTGCTAATCAGAATATTTGATGATTTTTGTCTGATGTAAAAGGTGCATCAGTAAATTGCAGCCTCGCTAGAACATAAACTGATCTGGACTATAAGGTAGTTGGAAGCCACACATGAGAACACACAGAATGTTCTAGAGACCCCAGTCCTCTGTGATCCAAGAATGCTCTCCACATGCTTGGATTTGCTCAAAGAATAATTCACACAAAGGTATCAAGTGGGCACCAAGCTTCCAGAGTTTTCGTAGATTGCCACAGACATCTCAGACTTCGTGCTGATTCCTAACCCTTACCAAATCTACAGAACTAAAGTGAGCAGTAATTGTGTTCATGATGCATCTTTCTCTCTAAAGACAGAAGAACCTGATGAATGTGCAGAAGCCTTGCTGGCAAGGGACATGCATAAGACTTTGAACTTACTTTCTCTATCTCATCACAATTATTAATTTTACTATTATTGTTGTTGTTGCTGCTATTATTATTAGTGTGAGTATGATCTCCATCTGTGAGTGCATGTGCACTGCACACGTAAAACTCAAAGGCAACTCTCCTTCTACTGGAGGAACTGGGATCCTACTTGAGTGGTCAGGGTTGTTACTCTTTGAGCCGTCTTGCCAGCCCATCACAACCATTTTATAACAGGGTTTACGGTGATTATGTGCTAACGTGAAGAATATTTTTGGGTGAGGTTAACATTAAGCTAGGTGAACACCGAGAAAACCACACATCGGTAATGTGAATGGCCTCATTCCACAGACTAGATGTGTAAACTAAACAGAAAGCCAGGCCTTGCTGAGAGGAAATCCGTGGCGTACCGCCTCTCCTGGAGCTCTAGCCTGTTGCTCTGTGTATTGAAACCGTACCATCGACTCGCTCGGGTCTCCACCTGCAGGAAACATGTGTACACGTGGTCTCAGCTTTGTAATCATGTTAATTCCTTACAATGCACATAATAACCATGTGAGCAAATTTGTTGTCATAAATCACATGCATACATATATACACTGCCCATGAATTCTGTGCTCCTGAGATTCAGTAACTCTGCTCCTGTAATTCAGTTACTCTGTTTTAAATATATTTACAAATCTACTTTGGCTTTGTGAAGAATCTATATCAATGCAGTGAGATCTTGAAAGGTCATTTGCTAATTTTGAAGGTTCTTAAAGGTGGAAATAATGTGTACCAAGCACGCTTAATGCAGCATGATATACATCACATACAGTATCTCATTTGGCCTTCGTAACTCATTATGTGAGCCCAGATCAAGAAACCAAGGCAGGTGTCAACACTTGGGCTGGCAGAGCCCACATTAACTTGGGTCTTACTGCACTGGTCCCGTGCTGTCAATTTGCCTTTGACAGCTAAAAGTTTTTGACCAAGTTTTTATTGTAGGAATACCTGTGTGGGGCTTATTCTGGAAAGGTCACTGTCACTTGACACCTCCTCTGGCCACGTGACTGAAGAACTGAAGCAAGGGATGCTCACTATGGTCAAGGGTCCTGGCTCTGTTACTCTGTCCACCTGTGAGTCCATCCATCAGCTCCCCAATCTCTGCTCTCTTTGAAGTTTCATTTCTTTTGGTACATCCTCCAGAGATTTGCTTTAGGGAATGCACGGGCAAAGATCTCAGAAATAACTAATAGATATGCCATGTTAGAACCTGAGATGAGGGTTGGGGAGAGGGCTGAGTGATGAAGAGCATATACACACATCAGGCAGCTCACAACTTCCTATGACTCCATCTCCAGGAGAAATCTGAGGCCTCTGGCCTCTGTGGACCTTGTACTCAGGTGCCCATGCTCATACAGACACACACATAGTTAAAAATAATAAAAATAAATTTTTAGAAAAGAAACTAAGAGGAAAAAGATGAATTCTAGCATGTGAATTTCATAGATTCGTATAGATCAAGACCTTGAAGAGACCCGAGTTCAGTATAAAAGCCTAATGTTCAATCCCAGATATCGTTGTGAGAAGTGGAATTTTGATGAGAATTTTAAATTAAGGATTGATTTAATTAAATTGTTATTGCGTGGCAACCTTTTACCTAGCATCATGCTACAAGCTGGGAGTGACTTCTATCTGGAAATTAACTGCTATTGTAGTTTTATATCTATGAGACAAAGAAGGTTCAAAGCATTTATGCTAGTATATACCAATTTCTTTTGTAGTTTTTCATTTATTTATTTTTATTTTATGTATATGTGTGTTTTGCCTCCATGTAAGAAAGTGCACCCATGTGTACAATGCTCATGGAAACCAGAAGAGGGCATTGGGGTTTGGGGTTTTTTTTTTTTTTTTTTGGTTGTTTTGATTTTTTTCTGGGCATGGTAGCACACACTTTTGATCCCAGCACTTGGGAAGCAGAGGCAGGCAGATCTTAATGAGTTCAAGGCCAACCTGGTCTACACAGTGAGTTCTGGGGCAGTTGGGACTACAGGGAGACCCTGACTCAAAAAGACAAAACAAAAGGAAAAACAAAAACAAGAAAATAACAAGAAAACAAAACAAAAACAAAAGAGAAGAGAGCATTGTATTCCTTGGAACTGTAGTTGAGTTTTGGACAGTTGTTAACTGCCATGTGGGTACTGGGAACCCAACCCAGGTTCTCTGCAAGATCAGCCAGTGCTCTTAACTGCTGAGCCATCTCTCCAGCCCTACCAATTTCTTTACAAGCTTTTAACATGTGTTTTTTCCTTTCAATTCTCACACTAATGCTAAGAGGGGCAGATGCTCCACACCTTATGATAGTTCCATTCTTGTAAACTCATTCTATAAACTCGTAAACCCAAACTGCATTTAATATACCTGAGCTAACCATCACACCTGCCTTATGTACTTTAAATGGCTCAGAAAGTTTACATCAGCCAAAAATGGGGCAAACTCATATCATGTGAAGTCTTTGTTATTATAAATTATTGACTATGTCATATAATTTAGGACAAACCAAAAATGAAAAGGCAGAACAGTTGTATGAATATGTTTTTGTAACACTGTAAAGTCAAAAAAATCATAAGTCAAACCATCATCAGTCTAATTGAGGTCGTCTACACTGTCCTCACCCCCATTTATAAGAAGCAAGAGGGAGAGAAAGAGATCCACAGGGAGTAATACCAAACCCAAGTTCACTGTGCTGTGATGGCTGGTACAGGCTGGGCACTGGGGCTCCCAACCCTGACTCAAAATCCACCCCAAGATGCTGCTTCCAGTCTGCAATTTTCTGAAACCTTGGCAGAGTGTGAAACAGCCTTGGGTTGTGCCTGCGACAAAGCCCAGCTGCATGAAAGCCTCCTGGTACACATGGGCAGAGTAGAGGGTTAAAGGTGAGAAGAGGTGAAGCCAGTGGCTGTGTCTGGATGTCTTCCTGGATGTATTCAGAAGGGGAGGAATGTAGAGAGGAGAGGAGAGACAGCCTCTCGACATGCTATTCCCCTCTTACCCAAGATCTGGGCTTTATTCTGTGTGCACTGAACAGCCAGTGGAAACACTTGGGCAGGAAGGGATCTTGTGGAAACTGCCCTTTAGAAGTTTTTCTTTATTTTCTGATATCAACAAGTCTATTTTGAAAGCCCCCTCTGTTAAGATTGTGATATCAGCACCTAACAGCATAGGGCTAAAACTAGATGGTTTAGTCTTCAAAAGTAGCAAGACGTTAGAAAGTTCGGATGCTTCAGCAGTGAAGAAAGACATCAAGACCCAGAATCCTCCTCATTGGCTAGGCACAGTTTGGATCTTTAGGGTTTCAGGAAAATTGTACTTCTCAGTATCCTGGGAGAGCTTAGACAAAAGGAGGAAGGGCAAGGGTTCGAATCTCTGTCTAGAGAAATGTATTCCTTCTATGAAGAAGCAATAGGTTTATCAGCAACATGTTGTCTTGGATATCTGCTTAGCATCATTTGCTAGACTGGGCATTGTGGGAAAGCATTTGTTTTAACAAGGTTCTTTATACTCCAAGAGTTATGCCACCAGTTAGGAAAATACATGAGTATGGATGCTGTGTAGAGTGGGTTCCAAAGGAAAAGACATCTATTAGAAGTCAGTCTTACATGGCTGACACAGCAAACACCACCACAGTCTGGCTGGCTTACAAAACAATAATTTTGAAGGCTGGAAGTCCAAGGTGAGGGACCATTGTGGCTGGGTTCTGGGGAGGGCCCCCCGTCTGGTTTGCAGAGGGTCACCCCTCTCACTGTGACCTCACTTGGCCATTCTCAGCATATGCACACAGAGGAAGAAGCTCTGATCGCTCTTCTGAGGCCTCTGATTATAGTGGTTCAGGGCTCCACCCTTATGACCTCATGTACCCTTAATTACTTCCTTGAGGGTTCCATCTCCAAATAGCCAGTTGAGGTTTAGAGAATCAGTGTTGGAATTCTGTAGAGATACAATCATTCAGTCCATAACAAGTGATAAAATCATGCATTAAAGAAAGAAAACGGGACCAGATAAGGAAGCACACATCTTTAATCCCAATACTCTAGAGGCAGAGGCAGGCCAGCCTGGTTTACATAACAAATTCCAAGTCCTGGCTACATAGTAAGGCCTGTCTCAGGAAAAAGAAAGAAAGAAAGAAAGAAAGAAAGAAAGAAAGAAAGAAAGAAAGAAAGAAAGAAAGAAAGAAAGAAAGAAAGAAAGAAAGAAAGAAAGAAAGAAAGAAAGAAAGAAAGAAAGAAAGAAAGAAAGAAAGAAAGAAAGAAAGAAAGAAAGAAAGAAAAGGAAGGAAGGAGGAGGAAGGAAGGAAGGAAGGAAGGAAGGAAGGAAGGAAGGAAGGAAGGAAGGAAGGAAGGGAGGGAGGGAGGAAGGAGGAAGGAAGGAGGAAAATGGTCTGAATCGGGATTTGGATTAAAGAAAAGCAAACTCAAATGAAACATTTGGGTGGTAATTAGCATTTTCTGAGTGGTAAGTAATTTGACGGTACATTTACAGAGGCGAAGATCCCAAGATCTCAACCTCCTGGAATGATTTGGGGCAAATCTGGCAGAAGGGAAGTAACACCTATCAACAGGTAGAAATACAGTACCTACGCTTGAAATTGAGGACAAGATTAGATGCCAGAGGCACCAATGCATGAAGCACAGTCAAGCTCTGGGAATCGATGGGATTCCAAGTTCAAGGAGACATGAACAGAGTGGAAGAAGGCTGAGGAAATCTGGGACCCAGGCTACCCTCAAATAGCAGGACAAGCGAGCTCTGCCTCTCATAGGGAGGATATCTGGACTCCCTGTGCTGTGACAGCTCTGATCCCCATTACACCAGAAATATCTGGCACCTCTGTCTCGAGTGGAGTGGTCCGCTTGCCTTCCCGGGTTTGTCTTCTGTGGATTGGGTTGAATGCACTCACCTGCCATCTCAGAGATGAGCGTGAACTAGGCAGTGCTTGTGAAGTGCTTTGAAGGTAAGTGTGGCTCACAAGCTGTTTTATGGTGAGGTCTTACGCGTGATTATATTCTTCCTAAAAGATTGCTACAGGGGTTGATGTACCTTTAGTGGCTGATTTCTGAGGTAGATTTTATATTTCCATAAAAAACACAATATAATATTTTAAATAGTTAGAGACACTTTTCTTAGACATCAAAGGCATGGTTTCTAAAACCTCTAAACCAGTTTCTTTTGATTTCTCTTGCATCATGTTACTGTGAATTGTCAAGTTTCAGGAAGCAGCCAGTGGAAGGAGCAATGGCCAGGGATTTCTTTTAGACATGCCAAGGATACCACCCCTCACTGAGGAATGCTGTAATTTTACCCTCAGAACCTTCTGGAACTCTGAAAGGTGAAAAGGGCTGATTCTTTATGCCACTGCAGTTCGTCCCTGGCTCCAGGGAAGGGTCTTCATATTTTCAGCTGTTCTTGGCTCTTCAGTTTTTCTTGAATTATGAAGACTTTCTTCCTCATTCCAGAGCCTGAGCCACTAGCTGAGAAGCAGGTCACTACTCATCACAAAAGGGCTTAGATCCAACACCTTTACATGCACTGGCCAAAAATATTCATTCTTCTGAGTCTACTTTAACAGTCTGAATATGTATGTGGCAACGTTTGTTTCCTAAATACATAATCATCCCTGTCTTTTCTTTCAAAATGTGCCAGTACAAAAAGAAAGATAGAAAGAGAGAATGCTAAATGAATGGGACTCTTTATGATGAGGTTGGGAGCGGTGTGAAAACATTTACAAACTGTTCCCAGATGCTCACATTCCCAGGGGCAAGAATCAATGAAACCAGATCAGACAGTCCCACGAGGCTGTGGAATCCTGAGAACCAACCAGAGCACGCCTCCAACTGTGTGCTCTGCCCAATGTTCATTTCCAGACACTATCGATTCCTATTCTTTTCTAGTGTTGCTGACATTAGGAAATTTGCCAGAAGAGGGGTAATAGGGTCAATAAGAAAACACGGCTATGAGGGTCTACCACCCGGGCAGGGGTTTGCCTTGACCTGTGCTTGACTTGAAGTGGAGATGGTCGAGCACTAGGAAGGAGCTGCTCCTGGTCTGAGTCATTTCCGGACACAAATTAGCCATTGCTTTCTATGTCACCCAAACGGGTTCCATTGGAATCGGAAGTCCCAGAAGGTATGATGTCAGACTTCTGGATGGCACACATGGAAGCAAGAGGTCATAATGTTGTTCCCAGTGACCAAATCTGGATTCTGAAGTAGCTCAGCTGGACACAGTGATAGGCTGAAACACAGGAGATGAAATCTCTGAGAGCTCTCCAGGGAAGCCGATTCTGAGACTCAGCAAACCAATCACAGAGATGGGAAATAGATCAATCTGAATTGCACTTCCTTGGAAGAAGGCATCTTGTTGACTTCTAACTCAGTTTAGGCCAAACGACCGGCTGACAGCGTAAAAGCTAATGCGTTCACAGATTACATTACAATGTTTATAGTGCTCCTATCTGAAGACAGATTGGTATGATCCCTTCACTTCATCAAGTATAGTCATTATTGAGGGCTGTGGACAGATAAGGAACGGTGGCGTTTAGAGACTCAATAAGCACTCAGAGATTAGGCACCGCTCAACCTACACCAGTGATGTCACTGTAGGAACTCAGGAACTGTATTACAGCCACTTAGGCTTTTTCAAGAGACCTTGGAAATTTGAATTTTAATATAAAAATTTTCACTGTTCTCCAAATGTCATGAATTTAAAAAGAAAGAGCATCTGTGTCAAGCTAATGAAAACTCCTTTTTTTTTTTGTCTTTTTGAGACAGGGTCTCCCTGTAGCCCCAGCTATCCTGGAACTCACTATGTAGACCAGGCTGGCCTTGAACTCACAGAGATCCGCCTGCCTCTGCCTCCCAAATGCTGGGATTAAAGACATGCGCCACCACGCCCGGCTGAAACTCCTATTTTTATCTCTACCTTAGGCATATTGTCTCTGTCTTAGGAGATGGAGACCATAGATAATTTTGGAGTTTGTCATTTTTTAGCTTGTCTTGAATCAATGGTAGTGAATATGTAGATGGCAAGAAATGAAATTTTTATGCCTGCTATATTTGGGGAAATATATAATTTATATGCCAGCTTTTAGCTGTATCTCCTTGTGTTACTTTTGTATTTATCATTCAAAAGATTGTTAAATACATTTGTAAGTTTTCAGTTGATTAAAAATCGATAGTGTCAGGGCTGGAGAGATGGCTCTGTGGTTAAGAGCACTGACTGCTCTTGCAGAGGACCTGGGTTCGATTCCCAGCACCCACATAGTGGCTAACAACCATCTATAACGCCAGTTCCAAGGGAATCCGATGCCCTCTTTTGATTTTCACAGGCATTGCATGACACGGGTGCCCTCATACACATGCAAGCAATACACTCCTTCACATAAAATTAAAAAATAATAAATAAAATAAAAAAAGAATGATAGTGTCGTTGCAAGTAAAATATACAAATTCAGTCATCATGTATGTCAAGGTCTAGCTACGTAGCCCAGGATGGCCTGGATATTCATTAGGTAGTTCAGTTTTGGCCTCAGACTAATGGCAGTCCTCCTGCTTCAGCCTCCTGAGTGCTGAGATTTATAAGCTCTCCCTACCATACTTGGATTTCAGCCAAGTTCTAATTTCTGAGTGTGATCCTGACTTGGACCTGTTCTCCAGATACAAACTGTAAAAGAGCAGTATCACTTTTCCTCCCTTCTGTCAAATATAAAATGTATTTGTTTACTTAGCTTTAGTCTTTCTCAAGTATTTTTTGGTAATGAGGTTTTTTTTCTGTTTGTTTTTGTTTGTTTGTTTTTTGTTATGCCCAGAGTTTGTTATGTCTTAATCTATGTGTGTTGCTATGACAGAACACCAGAGATTAAGTAATTTTTAAAGAAGAAACATTTATTTCTCACAGTTCTCAAGACTGGGAAGTCCAACATCAACAAGGGGAGAGTTTTCTTGTTATATTACCCCGTGGTTGAAGGGAATAGGGTGAGAAGGGAGAAGAAGGGGCCCAAACTCATCCTTTTTCCAGAAACACATTGCCATGATAGCTTACTTCCATGCTACCCAGTTAATCAATTCTAAAACCAGACCAAGCCACCTAAGTGCCTCTTCAAGATGACTTTCTAACACATAAACTCTGTAATAGAGTTGGTTTGACAGTAGCTAATCTGACATTACCATTAGTGGGAATTCCAAACAGAATGGGAAAGTGGGAGCAGCCCCTTAATTCATGGCCAGTAGGCAAGCTAACCACAGCTGGGTTAACCAGGCACAGTGAGTCATCTGGTTTATGGTTTCTTCTCTCCAGTGTTTAAATCACCAGATAAATGGTAGCCTGTGTGTAATTATCTGAAGTAACTACTAAGAAACAAGCATGTGGGGCTAGAGAGATGGCTCACTGGATAAGAGCACTGGCTGGTCTTGCAAATGACCTGGGTTTGGCTCCCAGCACACACACACACACACACACACACACAACAACAACAACAACAACAACAACAACTCACAACCCACCTGTAACTCCAGTTCCAGGGGATTTGATTCCCTTTTCTGGCTTCTGGAGGCATTGCACACACATGGTGCACATACATATGTGCAGGCAAACACTCATACACATAAAATAAAAATAAATAAATCTTTGCAAAAAAGGATACAAGCATCTATCTTCCAGAGACCTCCTTATCTCCAGAGTAGTTCATCTGAACTCATTCTCCATTCTACCACAAAACTGACCTCTATAAAAATACCTTATATGCATGTATGAAATTCTCAATAAATTATTTTTTAAAAAACACATTGTATTATGTCATCCTAAGAAACCTTCCATGGCTATTGATTTGCTTACAGAAAATAAACACCAAACTTTTTAGCATGGTTTCTAAGATCATGGGGCTTGAAGTCTGCACATTCTGATCCCTTTCCCATCATTCTCTGACCCCATCCCTACCCTCATTTCCATGAAGCATTTTGTGTTCTAAGGGCTATGAGATCCTGCTGATCCACAAACATCCCGTGCACTTTCATACAATTACAAATGGCATCCAGTTAACCTACTACATTATTTTTCTTTTTAGCCCTATCAATACTTGACATGATAACATAAACCCACATTTTACTTATCTATTTATTTATTTTTAGTCTGAGTTTTCCATGTGAAAATGCAGATATGAAATCAGAGACTTGATTTTACTCACAACAGTATCGTCGGGGTATTCAGAACACTACCTAGTATGTGATAGACACTTCAGTACATACTTACTGGATGAATAACATTCGTTTTTGCTCACTTCCTACCCGAACCTGCCAAGGCACACTGAGAAACCAGCTCAAACTGTCACCTCTCTTCTGGCCTTCTGCTTAACATCCTCCACCCTCTAGAATGGATTTCTGTCTTCATTCATTTTTCTGTGGACTCCATCGTCCTTTCTCTTCTTTCCCCATCTGTTAGTGTTTGACTCTGTACCATCGTATTAAAGTGACATGACTCATGAATGACTTGCAATTTCGTCTTCTGTATATATTCAGTACCCAAATCCTAGCTGCCTTTGGAAGGACTTCCTTTTCTGACTCATTTCTTCCTTTGGAGAAAATCCCCTTTGTTTGTATCAAAGCAATAGATAAGATTTAGGAAGGACTTGATTGTGCCAAAATCCATATTTACCACACTTCAAATTAACTGTGATTCATAGCATCTTGATAAAACTGTTAATAGTTCATTAGTCTTTCAAACTGTCTTTTTTCGGGGGAAATTTGGTTTTGGGGTCCCAAATTGAAGCATTTCTTTTGAGTCTATCCCTTTAAAATATTTACAAGTCTTCACAGGATTAAAAAGCATAGGCCTGTTTTCTGGGGGTTTTCGTAATGAATTTACGCTCAACTCTCAATTCAGCAGCAAGAATAAAGCTAGCATTTGAAGAACAAGTTATCTTGGTTGCTAACCCCCTGTAAGTTGAGATAAATG